CTCGTCAGAGCCGCAGGTGAAGCGTGTGCGGATGGGGCTCGTGGCATACGCTGGAGACTCCTCCGACGAAGAAGAGGATCATGGAGCCTTCAGAGCGGCCGGAGCCACAGGATGGACATACCGCTGCCCTTCATCACCACCCACACGGCCCAAAACACAGACGCAGACGCAGCCCATGCCCTTCTGGATGGCACCGTAAACACACACACACACACACACCATGTTCATGCCTCCTAAAGACTGTCCTGTGGGATTATGGGAGGATGGAAGAGCGATGGCTGCTCATGTGGCGCTGCAGGATCGCGCGTCTCATCACTCTGCTTTAGTTTCTCTTCATCAGTTTGATTTGTAATGTTACTTCTTCTGAGACGAATAAACACATGCATTGGCTCACACACCGTTTCCTGTTTAATCTCCTCCACACGTCCCTTAATAGTAGGGTTGGGAATCGAAAATCAATTCCAGTTCCAGAATCGGATACTTGTTGTAAAATTTAAATTTCAATTCCGGCTATCAATACATGTGTGCACATATGTTTATTAGGTGGTGAAAATGAGCTGTTAAAAATGTATTTGTCTTTGATTCATTCATTCAAGAGATTCATTCAGAAGCACTGATTCTTCCAGGAATGAAACGAGTAAATCTCGAGTGAGTCATTGAATCATTCCATTCATAAATTCCATGAGATTTTGTTTAGTTGTCTAATATTTTTTCTTCAGAATTGTGAGAGAACTACAACCTCCATTAAAAAAAAGAAGCGTGCAGCTCTATTTTGCACACAAACAGCTCTTAATCGAGTCCAGTTTTTATGCAGCCGGCTGATGTTTGTTCATGGTATTCAGCTGCAATTAAATGTTTTGCAAAAAGAGACACAGAATAAATGTTTGATATCTAAATGTCTGACTTCATTAATTTTTTTTTTACCACATTGGAATCGAAATATGATAGTGTGTTATGATCATAATCATATGTGTAAGCCAGGTTAAGGAGATGATTATGATTAATAACATAGTTTATGATTAATAACTATTCACAAAGGTGTAAAAAGGTCAGAGATCCTGAAATCTGGCTCGTGAGATCCACTTTCCTGCAGAGTTGAGCTCCAACCCTGATCAAACTTGCCTACCTGTGATTTTCTAATGATCCTGAAGACATTGATTAGCTTGCTCAGGTGTGCTTGATTAGCGTTCGAGCTAAACTCTGCAGGAAAGTGGATCTCGCGAGCCAGGTAACGATAACGACAGAGGTACGATTTCACTGGAATCACTTTCAGAGCGATTTTTCCGGCTGATGAGTGATAAAAACATTGACAGCCAATCAGAATCCACCCTGCTTTAAAGAGCATTTAAAGCAACAGATGACAAAATTGTAGCGCAAATACAATCAAAACGTGTTCATTAGTTATCATTGTGGTTATTGTTATTAGGGGCCAAGCACTGAAGTTGCATAGGCATCTATTGTGTGTTCTTGTTCTTCCGTTCTGGGAGTCAGGCAGCCCATAGAACCATTTGGTAAAAAGTTGTGAAATTTGGCACACGGATAGAGCACAGTCTCAACACTAGCCATAGCAAATTTGGAGTCTCTAACGCAAACCCTCTAGCGCCACCAGCAGTTCAAAGTTGCACATATGTTTATTCTAATAACTTTTAAACCGTCTTTTTAGAAGCTAACTTTTCCACTTGATTCCTTGGCTCATGCTGAGTTGCATGGAGACCAAAATTTAGGATTCTACAGGTCAAGATTTTTCACACTTTTGAATTATTGGAAAAACCTACTAATTCAAATTCAACGGCTTGGCTGAGCTTCGCCAAAATTGGCTCAGATCATCTTCAGGCGAAAAGTTATGGAATTCAATTTCAAACCATTCTCGAATAATGTGTAAATGAATTTTACGAAGAGCACGCCAAAATGAACGTGAGGCGACATCTGCACAATGCGTGTTGTAAGAACCATGATCTGAGGCTACCTGCAGTTTCGGTGCAGCGCCACCTAGTGGTCAGGAGATATAAAAAACAGCTATTTTGCTTAGTTTCGCCTAGCCAGACCTTCATACTGACGGCAGAACCTTGGCTGCTTTGAATGGCCAAGACCCGCCCAAGAGGTCATATGACTGACAGGTAAAGCAGCCAATCACGTTTCGTTTTGTGCCGCTGTATCTCTGCAAAGCCTTAACACACTGACACCAAACTTTATTTGTGTCATTGTCGCCTCAAACTGACCACACCACATAAATTTTACAACAGCTATTGCTAAGTGATAAACCATTAAAGAGTACCTATTATGCCCCTTTTTACAAGATGTAATACATGTCTCTGGTGTCCCCAGAACGTGTCTGTGAAGTTTCAACTCAAAATACCCCACAGATCAGTATACACCTTTTTCTTCAACGGTTCATTAGCCGCTGTAGGTAAATAACGAGAATAACAACATGCAGTAAATGTACAAAACAATGTGTTCGTAATTAAGATAATATAAAAAAATAATATGTTAAGACACCAATTTTCAACATCAAGCAGCAAAACGAACCGTTCTGTACAGCTAAAAATAGCTGGACGCGGATGAGACCGGAAGCTAGACCCACAGAATTTACAAATGGCTGCACCCATTTTTTTTTTACGGCAAGAAAAAGGTGGATATAATTTTCTGCAGGAAAGTGGATCTCGCGAGCCAGGTAACGATAACGACAGAGGAACGATTTCACTGGAATCACTTTCAGAGCGATTTTTCCGGCTGATGAGTGATAAAAACATTGACAGCCAATCAGAATCCACCCTGCTTTAAAGAGCATTTAAAGCAACAGATGAAAAAATTGTAGCGCAAATACAATCAAAACGTGTTCATTAGTTATCATTGTGGTTATTGTTATTAGGGGCCAAGCACTGAAGTTGCATAGGCATCTATTGTGTGTTCTTGTTCTTCCGTTCTGGGAGTCAGGCAGCCCATAGAACCATTTGGTAAAAAGTTGTGAAATTTGGCACACGGATAGAGCACAGTCTCAACACTAGCCATAGCAAATTTGGAGTCTCTAACGCAAACCCTCTAGCGCCACCAGCAGTTCAAAGTTGCACATATGTTTATTCTAATAACTTTTAAACCGTCTTTTTAGAAGCTAACTTTTCCACTTGATTCCTTGGCTCATGCTGAGTTGCATGGAGACCAAAATTTAGGATTCTACAGGTCAAGATTTTTCACACTTTTGAATTATTGGAAAAACCTACTAATTCAAATTCAACGGCTTGGCTGAGCTTCGCCAAAATTGGCTCAGATCATCTTCAGGCGAAAAGTTATGGAATTCAATTTCAAACCATTCTCGAATAATGTGTAAATGAATTTTACGAAGAGCACGCCAAAATGAACGTGAGGCGACATCTGCACAATGCGTGTTGTAAGAACCATGATCTGAGGCTACCTGCAGTTTCGGTGCAGCGCCACCTAGTGGTCAGGAGATATAAAAAACAGCTATTTTGCTTAGTTTCGCCTAGCCAGACCTTCATACTGACGGCAGAACCTTGGCTGCTTTGAATGGCCAAGACCCGCCCAAGAGGTCATATGACTGACAGGTAAAGCAGCCAATCACGTTTCGTTTTGTGCCGCTGTATCTCTGCAAAGCCTTAACACACTGACACCAAACTTTATTTGTGTCATTGTCGCCTCAAACTGACCACACCACATAAATTTTACAACAGCTATTGCTAAGTAATAAACCATTAAAGAGTACCTATTATGCCCCTTTTTACAAGATGTAATACATGTCTCTGGTGTCCCCAGAACGTGTCTGTGAAGTTTCAACTCAAAATACCCCACAGATCAGTATACACCTTTTTCTTCATTAGCGGTTCATTAGCCGCTGTAGGTAAATAACGAGAATAACAACATGCAGTAAATGTACAAAACAATGTGTTCGTAATTAAGATAATATAAAAAAATAATATGTTAAGACACCAATTTTCAACATCAAGCAGCAAAACGAACCGTTCTGTACAGCTAAAAATAGCTGGACGCGGATGAGACCGGAAGCTAGACCCACAGAATTTACAAATGGCTGCACCCATTTTTTTTTTACGGCAAGAAAAAGGTGGATATAATTTTGAAAATGCCTATTTTGAGCGGAAGCAGAAACACGCTGCTTTCGTGCATGTCTCTTTAAATGCAAATGAGCTGCTGCTCCCCGCCCCCTTTTCCAGAATAGAGCTGCGCCTTTACAGCTTGTTCCTCAGATACTCTGATAAAAAAACATCTGTTTGGTTTTGATTATCATGGCTATCGCACTGAAATCATGTGTTTTAAAGCCGTTTGAACTTCTGATATAGAGTGTTTGGAGCAGCTGTCACACGGCATGCAAGTACTAAGCTCTCTTTCATGTCTTAAACTGTCAAATACACACAAGTTTATGTTAAAAACATGCATAAGTTACAAAAACACAGTTGGTTATGTCTGGGAAAGAAACGGCGTGTTTCTATTAGATCTGTGTATTAAGTAACAGCAGCGTAATACACAGAACCCATACTGCTGTCTATGCTGTTACCCAAACAATAAAATAAAAGCAGAAAATCACTCGCTGCTCTGGACTGAATAATGTCTATAGCTGTAATAAGAAGACGTTTCTTACTTGAATGCTGCTTTTAAATGCTCTAGCGTGAAGATAAGCATGGCGGATTGTGTGCGGCTCACTCAGGGCGGGGCTTGTCAGCGGTGATGGGCGGGGCTTGTGAAGTGTGACCTCACATTTGACAGATTCTGTGATCGGCTTGTTCTGAGACACTGCTTATGATTTAGGGGGATTTAAAAAAGCAGCGGGTGGATTTTTAGCATTATAGGGTGGTTGTGTACAACACATTTATGTTCAAACAACATGTAAAAGTGGATTTTGCATAATAGGTGTCCTCTAAATCATATTACTAATTACTGAATTAATGATTTCATTTGGACTCCGAGAGTGAGACGGCGTTTCACTTCCAGCTGGTTAGGCTTTTTTGGAAAGTAAAGTGATTTCTATATTTTATCCATTCAAAAGACTATGACTACGATCCCAGTTCTGCACATAAACGTAGCGGGATATTTTTGTCGGTTAGCTGCTCAGTGTCGTCTTTTGCCGTAAGCAGACTGCAGCCGGCATAAATGCTTCTCTCAGCGCAGATCGTGAAAGCAGACTGCAGCTTGTCGTTCGTTATAACAAACGAAGTGTAGAGACGATGTAAATAATAGATTCAGTGTGCAGTGTAGACCGTTTCATTAATTGAAATGAAAGTTTGTGAGATTGCGATGAATTTTATACAAAAGTTAATATTAAGTGACTTACATTTTAGGAACACTGTTGTCTGATTTTGCTCTATTTCGTCAACGAAAATAGTTGCAAAACAAAGCCACAACTGAGCCGCTGCGCATCTCCAAGCAA